CATCCGGCCAAAAGCACGACGAACTCCACCATGTGGTCAACAACAGCTTCCAGACTCTGAAGTGCACTTTGTAACTCCGAGTTGGTGGCCTTGTTTGTCGAAGAACTTGTGCGAGCACGTTTGAATGGAATGATATAATCAGACGAGGTAAATGAATCGCTGACCAAATCCTTAGATGTCTCCTTATCTTGCCTGTACCTGATGTTGTCCAACACATGGTACCCTTGGTACATGAGGGTCGACAGCTTTTTCAACTGCATGAGCATACAAGAGTTGGTGATGCATCGTCCGTCCGCCTCCTCGACGACCGTGTGAACTCTCAACAGGAGTTGCTGCAGCCTCTCCGCCTTCTCCTCCGAGCATAGATGATCCGCGTATTTGTTCATGAGAAAAGAGATGAATCGGCTGGCGAGGTCACCTGTAACGGCAGATATTGCAAGATCCATCTCCAAATCTTCTGAGCTAGGTGTAGGAGAGAGAGAGGGGAGGGAGTCGTGTAGTTTATGCACCTGAATACCTGATATGTGTCACAGATACTAGACCTAGAGATGAACAAGCTTGCTTCAGGCCTATGGCAGCTGTTACATCACATCTATAAAAAAAATCTACTATGGGATCAAGGAGCTCCGGGGGTCCTCCTCCTTTTTTAAAAAATGGGATCAAGGAGCCAAGAAGAAAGATCCTAGTTTTACGCCAATCCAAGACAACCTCCTCAGTCCTCAGCTTTCAACATCGATTTGGTACAGAAGCAAGAAACTGTAAGACAGCTGGTAGGTCAGTTCAGCTTGATGCAACACGCCAAGGTCCTTGTCAACCTCCAAGACCCAGCTACCGTGTATGGTCATCTGTCATCGTGCCGGTCAAGCGTGCCGTCCGAGTGAGACAAATGCGGATAGGTTTTTCTTTCGGGTCAATCATGTTGTTACTAAAGGACGGGACTACAGTCTACAAAACAGAACCCTGTGTGAACTGACCAAAACTATTGGACGCTGGTACTTCCTTCGTCTCAAAATGTAGCGTATTTAGATTTTTTTTATGTTAGACTTAGCGAAGTTTAACAAATTTTATAGAGGTATCTAATACAGTACTAAATAATATCCAACACGAAAATATATCTCAGGACCTTATCTAATGATGTGTATTTCATATTCTAAATGTATATATTTTTCTTTAGAAACTTGGTCAAAGTTTATGAAGTTTGACTTTTGAAGAAAGGGCTAATTGCATTTGTGTCCCTAACTCGAACTCACTACTAATATTTGCCCTTCCCTTAGGTCAAGGTCAAGTTAGGGGGGAAATGTAAATGTCCCAAAAAATGTATATGCACATATTATGGGATGAAGGAAGTAGTAGGAGTATCGCGTTTTTTTTTTTGCGGGGAATGGGAGATTGATTAACTTAACAAGGCAAATCGTTCATACAAAGACTCAAAATATGATCCGTGCTCAAGCCTGGCCACATCGTAATTCGCGGGTGCTTCGCCCATAGGCAGCTAGGCCATGGCTAACCTTACTTTGAGTACGACTAATTAAGCTAACACAGTCTCCTTGCTACTATTTGCAATAATATCCACTGGCTTGTTTAGTTTCAAACATCAGAAATTCTAATCGGTCTAATACGTTTTGTCTCTCAAACTGCTAATTTGAACGATGGTATACTTTTTTAGGTACATGATTTACTTTTATTGTTGGCTTTCTCGCAGTGAGATTTTCAAATTAGATCCCATATTAATGTATTTCAGTAAACAAATCGCCAGTACTTGTCAGGTTATTGTACTTACTTGCCTATTATTTACAAGCAGTTATCGTGATGTTGTTGCATGCTTGGTTAAGATTTTAGTTGTGTCAATTACCACGTTATTTCATACAGCTTTTCATTTTTACAAAACTGTGGCTGCCGGGATAATTGCTATGGTTGCTTCCACCGGCAGAGCTTCAGCAAGGCTGAAAGGGCCATCGCCTGCCCTGGGTTGGAGAAAAAAATTACACGAAGTCTAGCCCATATTAATGCATTGATTTTTAATTTGGTCGTGCTGTTTGTACTATCCGGCCCGTCCAACATATTTTTGATAGCTCCGCCACTAGTTGCTTCCCTAGTTGCCAGATTAATTATATCAAGTTTTCATGTGTATTTTGTGTAACTTGTCATGCTTGCACAACCTTTAATTAGTTTGTCATCCTACACACAGGGGGTTGCCACTTGCCATATATGTACACACACACATTAATTTTTTCAAAAGGGGGGACTCCCCGGCCTTTACATCAGAATGATGTATACGGCCAACTTTATAAATAAGCAAATAGGTTCAACAAGGTCTTAAAGCCTGAAATAAAAGTAAAGACAAGCTCACAAAGAGCCACAGTGTCAAAAACACAAAAGCCAAAAGGCCACAACCGGCTGGCATAAGAAAGATAGGAAAACTAATTGCCCATCCTATTACATGACCGCCATCCAAACCGGTTAAAGATATCCAGCGCTACCATCTCCCACTGAATAGATCCAGTAACCAAACGCTCCCTGGCCTCCATCGGAGTAAGTAGCGACCACATACGGATCAGCGCAGTGGCTCGGAAGATAACCTGCAAAAAATGAATATTTGTTGTTCTATTAAAAACCAAATCATTTCTGCAGTTCCAAATTGCCCACAATAAAGCACATACCCCTACGCGAATGTGTCTAGCTGTTTCGGACTCTATCCCAATAAGCCACGTTCCAAATAACATGCTGACAGAATTCAGATGAGTAATGTTAAAGGCAATGTGCACCGTCTGCCACAAAAATTTGGCCAACGAGCAATCAAGAAAAAAGTGTTTGATAGTTTCATCCCGATCACAATTACACCTAGTAGATCATGTCCAGTTGTGCTTTACCAAGTTATCCTTTGTTAATATGACTTGTTTATGTACAAACCACATAAACACTTTATTTTTCAAAGAAACTTTGACTTTCCAAACATATTCTGAACTAGGAATGGCGCTAGAGTTGATAGCATCAAGATACATCGATTTAACTATGAACTCTCCAGCCCTAGTGAGCTTCCAGCGCAACTGGTCGGGCTGTTGAGATAGCTGAACCTCCACCAGTCTACTCACTAAATGAAGCCACGCTTCCCAATGATTGTCGGCAAGCGTCCTCCTAAAATGAATATTAAGGGGGATGGACTGAAGTATCGTTGTAACATAAGCATCACGTCGTTGAACAATACTATAAAGGGACGGGTACTAAAGCGCCAGTGGCGTCTCTCCTAGCCAGGTATCCTCCCAGAAACGCGTGGTAGTGCCATTACCGATTATAAACTTTGTCCTATTGAAAAAGACTGATTTGACTCTCATGAGCCCCTTCCAAAAAGGCGAGTCCGTCGGTCTCACTGTCACCTGGGACAAAGTTTTGGACTGCAGATACTTACTATGGAGAATCTGCGCCCACGTGGCATCAGTCTCAACTGATAACTTATACAACCACTTGCTGAGAAGACATTTGTTCTTGACTTCAAGATTTTCAATGCCAAGACCCCCTTGGTCTTTTGGTCGACAAATGATATCCCATTTGGCGAGTCTGTATTTTTATTTTAGTTCATCGCTCTGCCAGAAGAATCGGGATCGATAGAAGTCCAGCCTTTTCCTAACACCAACTGGGACTTCGAAGAAAGACAAGAGAAACATAGGCATACTCGTGAGCACCGAATTAATAATAATTAATCGGCCTCCGTATGACATGAGCTTGCCCTTCCAGCAACTCAGTTTCTTCTCAAACCGATCCTCGATACACTTCCATTCTCTGTTTGTCAGCTTAGATGGTGAATATGTATACCTAAGTACGTAAAAGGTAAAGTCCCCAATTCGCATCAAACAATTGCCTATAAGCCTCTTGTTCCTCATTGGCTCTACCAAAACAGAACAATTCGCTTTTATGAAAGTTAATCTTTAACCCGGTCAATTGTTCAAATAAGCGTAACATCAGCTTCATATTTCTCGTTTTTGCCAAGTCATGCTCCATAAAGATGATCGTATCATCAGCGTACTGTAGGATAGACACACCTCCATCAACTAGATGAGGCACCAAGCCACCCACCTGACCAGCCTCCTTAACTCTTTCTATTAGAATTGCCAACATATCAACCACAATGTTAAACAAAATAGGAGACATCGGATCACCTTGTCTCAGACCCTTATGTGTCTGGAAATAATGACCTATGTCACCATTCACTTTAATTCCAACACTCCCTTTTTGCGTGAAAGATTCTACTTGGCGTCGCCAGGCTTCATCAAAACCCTTCATATGTAAGGCCTGTTGAAGGAAAGGTCATTTGATTTTATCGTACACACACACACACATAGTTATCAGGTTTAACCAAGCGTAATTGCCAGATGTATACACATGGTTGCCAAGTTAGTTTGGTTGTCGGGGATTTCTTTGCCAGGGGTTGCCGGGTTTTAAGCACTGATTTATAGACAAGTTGCTAGGTTTTAACATGTATAATTGCCATGCTTTAAGAAAAAATGAGTTACTTGTCAGGTTTAGCGGGACAAAGGGGTGTAGTTGCTCAGTTAAATCTAGGGATAAGAAAAAGCTATGATTAATTTTTGTCGGCTGCTACGAATCAGCCGTCTGATCAGCGCGCTGGTGACCGTTGATGACAGCAACGCCACGGCATCAGTAAGCACGCGACTGCTTCGATGCAGCGCTGCTATCATGTTATGTTTTTACACGAAAAGTCACTCTCAGTAATCACACCTACCATTGACGAATAAAAGCTCATAACATGTTCTTATAGAGATAGTTAGGTTCCTATACTAAACAACATAATCAATACTGTACATACGCTGCCAATTCGGAACCCATCCCTATGAACCAACCGATGGCACATAACTTTTCCTGTGACTCTTGTCCAAACTAAAAAAGGTGATTATGATCAATTTGGTACGTTTATCGTTACATTATACTCAGAGCTATAAATATCTCATAAGATAAAATGCTACTTGAAGATATGTGGCATGAGACTATGCAGATGGCCCCAGACGCTTCCTCCCTGACAAGGATGCTTCAGGCTTATCATCCACACAACTTGGAACAAAGCGAGCCAGATGATCAAACACAGTGTATGGTGGTAGCCTTGATTCCCAAGAGATCAGCCTAAAATCTCCCTTCGGTGGAGCAATATGGCCTGCTTCTGCTAGCAAGTCCCCAAATATCAGTTTGGGTAGACTACTCCGACTGCTAGCAGAGGGTATAAGGCATGATGGAGCTGGAGCAGCAGGAGACAAGAGGTGGTGAGGGCCGAAGTGAACCGGACGGCCTTGATCGAGAAGGCCATTTGGATGGCAGCCAAACCTGGATATGTTCACCTTCCTTGTGATTCTGATCTTGTTCAATGCGCTAAGCCAGAAATGGGCATTCAGATTCTTTCTCACTGCATATCCAAGCAAGTTAGCTGAAACGAGTGATCCTTCCAACACCACAGCCAACTCTTCCACTATCGTCGCTAACCGCGGATGGTCTCCCGGCTTGACGCTTCCAAATGCAAGTGTCTTGAGCAGGTACCTGTACTCCTCGAATGTTAGACGGTTCAGAGAAATAGTCTGGACGGTCCCAAGTTTCTTCAAGCTTTCATTTCGACCTAAGATTATCACTTTGCTTCCTGTTTCCATACCTGTAACAGATGAATAGAATGTCTTCCAGTCATCGTCATCTACATCGGAAGCAAACTCGACAACTACCAGTGCCTTCCCTGACGGAATATCATGGTTTGTCATCCTGGTAAGATCGTCTCCACTCAGGTGCAAAATAACTGTGAAGTGAGAACGCACCGTGTCATACCTGCATACATGTGCAACAAGAGTTTTCTTCCCAACTCCACGTCCACCAATGATCGGTAGTACCGCCGGAGGACCAGGTAGGTCCTGTTGCAGCAAGAAGTTGATGATCTTCTGCTTCTCGACATGCCGACCAAACATGAAGTTGTCGACCTGAAGATAGGCATCATACGGTCTTCGGGAGATGCGCTCGCATCCACTCAAGAGCACAACAAACTCCACCATGTCAGTAACAGCAGCTTCCAGATTCTGAAGTGCACTTTGTAATCCCGAGTTGGAGGCCTTGTTTGCCGAAGAACTATTGGTTGTGCGAGCACGTTTGAAAGGAATGATATAATCAGACGACGTAGATGAATCACTCACCGAGTCCTTGGATGCCTCCTTATGTTGCTTGTACCTGATGTTGTCCAAGACATGGTACCCTTGGTACGTGGTTGCCGATAGCTGCTTCAACTGCATGAGCATACAAGAGTTCGTGATGTGGCGTCCATCCGCCTCCTCGACGACCGTGTGAGCACTCAACAAGAGTTGCTGTAGCCTCTCCACCTTCTGCTCCGAGTACAGACGGTCCGCATATTTGTTCATGAGGAAAGAGATGAATTGGCTGGCGAGGTCACTTGTAACGGCAGATATTGCAAGATCCATCTCAAAGTCTTCTGAGGTAGGTGTCGTGGAATTGTCACGTCAGATGTCCTCGTGAAAGGACTTAGTTGTGGAGCCATCGCAACTAGGAAGCTTGAAGGGGTTAATCGGGACAAAGGACACGAGAGGTTTTATACTAGTTCGGCCCCTTACGGTAAAGGTAAGGCCTACGTCTAGTTGGGTTGGTATTGATGTTTCGATGACCAGGAAGCGAGATACGCTATGCCCGGTTCTCGATGAGTTGTTTCTTGCCCTAAGCCGCCAGCAGGTCGTCCCCTTATATACACGGGTTGACGCCCTGTGGCCTACAGAGCCCCGGCCGGCTTATAACAGTGTCCGGCTCGGTGACTAGTTAAAACTACCTTATGATACAAGTCATGCCATTACGGCGGTTTACTACAACGGGCCTTAAGTCGCCTGTGGGCTTAAGCCCCCTATTGAACTGCCATCTTCATGCTTGGTCTTGGGCTTGAGTATTCTTTGTGTAACCCGGCCCCTCCTGGGTGGCTTACACAAATAGTTATATCCCCAACATTAGGCCCCAGATTGATTTGAACTTGTTCATGTCAATCTTAAAATACCTTTAAAGAATAACTTTTCAGTCTTCTGACTGTGCAGAAGGTTTTCTTTAAACCGCCATGACATCATCTTCTGGATCCGTGTTAACCCGGCGTGACGTCATCCTCTCTTAAATTCCTTTTCTATTCCATCGTATCCTTCAACGGATCTCTGCTTTATTGACTATTCCGAAAATCGAGGCGTCGGGGCCGCTGGATAATAACTCTTATCTCCTTGTTTCCCGCGTCATCTCAGTTATCCTCTCCCTATAAATAGGCGCGACTTAGGTCTTCCACTTTCCCTCTTTCAGTCATCTTCTTCCTCTTGCCTCCTCTCGAGCTCCGCCGCCGCCGCCGTCGAACCCCTCGTCTTCATCGACTCAGGCCGCTGCATCAACCTGACTCTGACCAGAAATCGACGGCAAAACTCCGCAGCTCGTCCACATCCGTGAGTTCCTCTCCTTCCCTTTCTTAGATCTGCATTGGAACTTTGTTGAGTTCGTCGGTGTTCATCACCGCCCGACGCAAACCCTCGCTAGTTCTTACCTCCAATACCCTGTTTAGATCGTAAAAACTACGTAGAACTGCTGCAGTACTTGTTTGTGTTGATCTTGCATAGAAATAGATCTCATTTCCCTTTGTTTGGAAACCCTCTTCGAGTGTATGAACTTCTCTGCCCTGTTTTTAGGTCTAGAAATTTTCTTTTCAGAGCAATAATTTGATCCAGAATAATAGCTGTCATCCGTGAAACTTGTTTTTATCACCCGGAAAACTTCTTCTGGTAGATGCCCTTAAACACAACTGTCGAGGTGTCCGGCTTAAATAAATGACACGGAACCTTAGTTGCTTCTCATGACCTGAAGAATTTTGAACTGCTCTTGATACTTGTAGCGGCTTAAATATTATTGCACAATCATCCTTATATCATTAGGCCCCTCCTTAAGCCGCCACCTTGAATAATTAGGATTTTTCTCCCTGGTTAAAATTGAACCGGGTCTTCTTATTTTGTCATAGGCCAACTGTTGTCATGGCTCCTAAGGCGGCCAAGGCCCCTGTAACCTGCAATTGGGTCCCATCCATAGTTACCAAGAGTAAACTGGCTGAGTTCGTGAAATTTGGCCACCTGCCAAAAAGGGAGGTCATGTTTTATCATGTCCCTGACCCGTCTGAAGAGAAGCCTCAACCCAAAGAAGGGGAGGTGATAGTTTTTACGGATCACATGAGCCGGGGATTTGCCCCTCCCGGCTCAAAATTCTTCAGGGAAGTTTTGAATTTCTTTGACCTTAGACCTGAAGACATCGGACCCAATTCCGTGTCAAATATTTGCAATTTCCAAGTCTTCTGCGAGGTGTACCTGGAAGAGGAACCAAGTCTGCTATTATTCAGGGAACTTTTCTACATGAACCGGCAGAATGAACGTGCCAACGGGCCCAGTCTTGAGCTTGGCGGCATCTCAATCCAGCGAAGGAGAGACTACCTTTTTCCTTATGCTGAACTGCCGAGTCACCCAAAATCTTGGAACCAAACGTGGTTCTATTGTCAGGACACTTCTCCGGCTGATGAGAAGCCTCTACCCGGCTTTCGCGCCCTGCGCCTTGAGTCCAACCACCCGCTACCAGACAAACTGACGGCCGTTGAACGTCTGCCTCTCAATCCCACCATCAAGAAGATCAAAGCTCTCTTGGGAAACGGTTTAAATGGCATCGATCTGGTCCGAGTCTGGGTCACTTGGCGAGTACTTCCATTAAGCCGCCGTTCCGGCTTAATGTGTACTTATACAGGCGAAAAGGATGACCCATTACGCCATAGTCCTGACGACTTACCAGATGATGTGGTGGAGGCTACGACCCAGTCACTGCTGAAGGAGGGCACTGTGACAAGTAACACCTTTAGCTTACTTCCCTTTTGCAAGAAGAACCCGGCCCCTGCAGTAAGTTATCAATCTTAATAAATACTCTTTGTTATGTTATACCTTCTTTGGTACTCATAACTCCTTATCCTTTCCCACAGGCCGATGATAACTTCTGGAAGGTCAAATATGACCATGAGGCTGCAAAACAAGCCAGGGCAACCAAAAAAGCCGAAAGGAAAGCCGCCAAGACGGGAACCTCAAAGAAGAAGAAACCCAACGCCTCCGACTTACTAAAATTGGAGGATAGTTCTTCGGATGATGAAGAGGTAATCTTTAAATTTTCTTTATTCCCTTGTTATTACCTATCTGACATTCTATCCGTTCAGGAGGACACGGGGAACAGTCAAGCAGCCAATGAAGAGGTAACTATAATCTCCTCCGACTCAGAGCCTTTGCCAAAGCAAAAGATCCGAAGGGTGACCCGGAAAGTAAGATTTTCACATACTCTTGCTTATCAAGATCCTCAATTTCTTTTGAAGCAACAACAGCTTGAGAATCGGAGGCAGACCCGGAGCAACAAGGACGCGGAACTCTCCTCCGGCTTACCTGACGTAACCAGGAAGCGCCGGACTGAGGTTATCTCCGATTTACGTTCTGTTTTACCTTTAGCAGGCTTAATTCGTCATCCTCTCAATTCGTCTGACTCCAATTATCAGGATACCTCTCGTTCTTCCGGTGAATCCATGCAGTCAAACATGCCGGCTTTCAAAACTGCTCCCGGGTAATGTAACCTTATGTACCTTGAACTTTACTTTACCCATGCTTGCGTATTCATCCTTCTGCCTTTGTTAACAACATGCAAGTGAAACCTAGCAAGAGGGCGAAGAAGAATAAGCCGTCCCAATACCTGATTGTAACTGAACCGGTGATTAATGCGTCTACTCCAGACAACTCTACCCATCAGCCGCCGCCTGATCCGGCTTCTGAAATTCCAGTGCCAACTTCTGATCCGTCTGCTGAGGATACTCTCAACACAAATGACCCGGAGACTCCTAGCCCGGTCAAGACAAGTGAACCGGAAGTTGAGATTGTGAGGTCTCAGTTTGTTGAACCAGGGCGGCCTACCGTCCTTGCCAAATGTTCCGCCAAGGAAGAACTTGCCGAACGCCGAAAAGCCAAGCAGGACATTACTGATTACACTCACTTAAGCATTGGTGATATAGTCTCGGGCTATCTGAATCAAGTGCATAATAGCCGTGACCTGGAAATTGACATGGTAAAACAAATACAGCACAAATATGAGGTATAACTTATACTTTTTACCTGAGTCTTACATACTGTACCAGCCCCCAAGTCTATCGCTTATGAATAAATATGATGTAGACTTAGAAATCTATTTTACTTATTAATTGAGCCGGTTCAAAGAGAATATATTTAACCTGGTCATAACATGATATTTGTAAATTTGCAATATACATTAGTCCCCAAGTGTCAAGTATCTTTACTTGTAACGTGCTTGAGACTTAATATGTGTGACCCGGTATGATAAGTTTAAAATTCTTCAGCATACATTAGCCCCCAAGTGCCAAGTATCTTTACTAGTAAAGTGCTTGGGACTTGAATGTTATCTTACTATAACCCTTACCATAACCTGGTGTCAATGCAGGCCACCATAAGTTAGTTTGAATCGGAGCTTGCTGTCCTGAAGAGTCGTCTGGAAACTCAAGAACTTGAGACTCAGAAGGCTAACTCCAAATTTGAATTCAGTGTCTCTGAAAATGAGAAGCTGAAGAAGAATTTTGAGTCGGAGAAGAAAGCTTGGGCTAATGAGAAGGCTTCACTGGTGACTCGGGCCGAGACAGCAGAAGTATCTCTTGCAGAGGCAACAACCGAGTTGTCCGACTTAAAACGACAGATATCTCAAATGGTCTCAGCCATCTTCGGTAAGTTACTGTGCAAAACCTCAAACATTGTAACCTTTCAATGACTATTGTAATAATTACTTCTGGCTGACTGTTATATTTGTGTACATACAGGCCCCAGGAGTACCAACCTTAAACAAAACATGCTGATCAAGCTTAAAAGCAGTTTATACCTTAGTGGAACAGCTGTACTCTGGGTCACAACGTGCTTTGTCCGTTGCAGCCTTATCAAGCCCTCCTCCCCGCCTTCTGCAAGACGTGTTGAAGAGCCTCGCTTTCCTGCCTCAGCAGATCCAAGACTTAAGGCGGGCGTCCTCAAGAGCCGAGGCCGTAGCCGCATTGAGCCGGGCTAAAGCATGGCTCCCAGAACTAGACCCGGCCAACCTTGCCCTTGGATACCCAAGTCTGAAGGAAGACGGCACTGTATTTGACGACCATGATTTCACCGCCTGCATCAAGGCCATACGTCCCGTGGCAACCCATGTTGGAAACGACACTGACCTTAGCAAGTATGCGCGGGCTTATGACAGTGAAAACCGGAGAATTTCAAACACTCCATATGATCAAATCAGCCTGATCCCTCCAATTCGTAAGCATACTTTTGCCCCTGAAGTGGACCCAACCGGTTTAATAGATGATGAAGCTGAGTTTGAAGCTTTGAGCGACATTGAC